TTAGATGAGGTCATGAGGGTGGGGCCCCCATGATAACATTAGTGTCCTTATAAGAAGAGGAAGACAGACCAGAGCTCTCACTCTGTCTGCCCTGTGAGGACACAGAAAGAGGGTGGCTGTCTTCAAGCCAGAGAAAGGGTTCTCACTATAAACTGAATCTACTAGCACCTTGACCTTGGACTTCTCAGCTTCTGGAAGAGTGAAATGTAAATGTCTGTTGTTTAAACCAGCCAGTCTATGGTATTTCGCTATAGCAGCCTAAGTTGACTAAGAGAGTCTCTCAGAAAAATTTTGATTTCTCTAAATATAGCCCTTATGTTTGCATATTCAGTTGACCTTCTTATGAAGGTCAACTTATCTCATTATTTCTAGTCAGTTTCAAACTGGTTATTTTTGATTTTCCAGGTAGAAAAATATGGAGCCTCTTTGGAAAGATATTTTCCCTCCTCGAATATTTGAGTTTTAGAGTGGCTAATTTTGTTTTGTAATTTTGATATAGAATTTTTTAAAAGAGAATTTTATGTTCCGTACATAGGTACTTTTGAATTTTCTACTTGTACTGGCCATGCCATCAGTTAAGATCTGGAGCCATGCATACATTCAATAAATCCCTGCTGCTGTCCAGGTGCAATCAATGTCCTGGGGTCCTGGAAATAGAAAAGAGGGATCCCACTCTTTCAGTAATCTCAACTAGCACACTTGGAGAATGAAATAAGCATGTTTGGCAGAGTATGAAAAAATATTATAGCTTTACTTTTTATTGGTGGGGTATTTATTGATGGATAATTTCATAACATAGAGAACGAGCATCAGGTTTTGACTGTGATAAGTCGGGACAGACTACCACGGTATGATAGACCTGATTTTTTAATCTTGAGTAAAAATTCATACAAAGAAAGGAGATGGTTGGTTGGAGTGGGAGTGTCTTTTTTGTTAGAATATGTAGATTCAGTTTTAGCAATTTGAAAAATAATATTTGAGTACAGAGGTAAATACATTTTTTATAAATGTAAAATCTTCTGAAATCTTCACTGGAAAATATCTGCTGGACAAACCAAAGGAGGGATGTCTGGATCAATTCCTAAGTTTCCTGCCATGGGAATTCCCATTTATTGACAATACCTTCACAGTACAAATGTAGTTTTTGTGTATGTTATTAGACAATAAATCTTTTTTTTTTCCCCAGTTACTCAGTATTCTGGATCCTGGAGCACCATATTGTTATCCACTGCCCCATGTTTTCTAAATCATATGTGCGACTTCTGTTGAAATCTATATTTTTGCATAGGCAAAAATCATGAGGAACATATGGTTCTCATTCTACCAAGACTTTCATTTCAGGCTATTACCAGAATGCTTAGAAATCCTGATTGGATGGTAAGGAGATTAGCTTTTTCCCTAGTGGAATAATTTCATTATAACAGAGGTGTCATCTCCTTAAGCTAAATGTAGAAAGAATAATAGAAAAATTACAGATCATGGAAAAAACTAGAAAGGCTTTATTATAAATTATGACATGACTTCAGAGAATACCTCTTGATAGATTTAAATAAACCCCTTAAAATTTAGGTAGCTAGATCGCTCAGTTTCAGTTCTCACTTTTCTCATTTACATCACTTTTATACAAAAAGCACTCCCCACCATCTGGCTGATTTACAGACTAAGAAGCATTTTCAGGACTCTGACTCTCCTGGTCTATCTGAGTTCACAGAAGGGACCTGTTTAACCCTAGAGCATCAACTCTGTTAGTATATTATAATAGAAAGAGACAAACTTCCCTGAATTAAGAACTTTAAAAGAAATAAGTCACGAGGCATTTCAATGACCGGTTTCCTATTGACATCGGAACCATATTTGTAGTTTATGAAGATGTTCAAGAAATAAACCAACATATAACTATAATTTGAGCTTAATTGCCTCTATACTTTTATTCTTAATATAAGAATTTTCAACTTTAATTTTGTCCAATGCATTTTTCTTTGGATATTACTGAAACAAGTGGAAATGAATTTTACATTTGGTTCTATGATTATTTGAAAGTATAGACCCTTTTCTGTTTCATTCAGTGAGACTTAAAGAAGTAGTTCTTGGGACCTTCTAGGCACGGGCTCTCAAATGTGCCATAAAAGCTGATACACTAATATGTCTCCAGAGAAGAAATTGCCTGATCAATAGACTCTGTGGCCTGGAGTGCGGAGGGAGTGGGATTGGGAAGATGGGTTTGATATAATGTGTTGTTTCTCAAGCCCTGTACTGTGAAAAGAAGAGGAAAAAAAGGAAGGAAGGAAGGACGAAGGGAGGGAGACAACAATAATCACAAATTTTCCTAAAGCTGAAAATATTAAATTTAATGGACCACACATTATTATAAATATGTTCTCCCTATTCTGGGGGGATAAAAAAAAATCCCTTTAGCTTTTGAAATTTTTGTGGTAAAAAATGTTGGTTCTTTTTATAGTTAGCAACCATATGTCAGTGTCTCCTTACTTTACTTTAAATTATCCTGCTGCATGAAATCAAGGTGACTGAGAACCACTTTATTGGCCAAAGATCCACAATCAGCTCAGTGACCTTAGATCCTGGTCCCAATGAGCTGGTGAGTGTGAGGCCTGAAGCAGGTCCGTGTACCTACCTGGGGATTAATTTTCTCATATGTAGAAATGGACTTTACACCAGTGTCTAATCAAACTCTTTATAGCTGAAAAATTTAGCCTTCCCTTATCTGATAAAATTATCAGTCATGATAAAATATTTCCACTTCCCTAAATGTCTGTCATATAATTTCTTTACAGAGAATCTTTTCTGCTTTTGGTCCTGTGCTGAAAGACAACATTTGTAAGGACACTTGACCATTACTAGTGATACACTACTAAACCTTTTGATCACAACATGGTGGTTGTTACTAGCTAGTAAGCGTCACTTGAGGTGCTTTTCTACAATGTGCTAAGTTTTTAGAATGTTCATAAGATAGGGGTGGGAGGGGAAGAGAGATAAAGAGAGAGAGATGGCCTCTTCTCTCTCCCAATTATATTTCCCTTCCTTCTTTTCATCTGTCTAATCTTCCAGAGTGCATTAAACAGATGTTCTTTTCCAAACAAAAAGTAGATGCACAAAGAGCAGGAAATAAATGACTTCTGTGATTCACATTAGGAATGCACTCTAGGATATGTGAAAACCAGAAGTTTTATAGTAATGTAATGTGCCGATTTCATTTTCCCACAGATACTTACAAGTTTTAAAAAAATTGTAAAACCATACTACATTCCCAGATGGCACTTAAAAATCAGGAAGGTGAACTTAAGTTTATTATTTTTTCATAGTCTGCTGATATGTGAAAAATTACATTCAGAACACATTTTTCTAAGAAATTAGTTATGAATTTAGATGTTTAGGATAACTCTTGGGAAAATCAGCTTTTGAGTGATGGTAATTTACAATAAGAGTTATTGGAAAAGAATGTGACAGGAAAAAATCTACAGGTCGTTATTGAATAATAAGCTCATTTTCCCCCTTAAAATTGATATTTAAGCCCCAATGAAGCAGAAACTTTTTTCCTATTGTTACTTTTACTGTAGTATATGAACTTACACATTAAAATGTGTAATCTACATTAATCTACTTTGTTACAGTTTTTACTCTGAGGAAAAGCAGGTTAGATAAAAACTTAGGACTTGATGTATATGTGTGTGTATCTGTGTCTGTGCATATGCACACATATAAGTTTGTGTGTATATATATATATACACACAAAAATATGTATATAGGTTGTATTATATAACATGATGTGTATATATGTATATAACATGGTATGTATATATTCAGTAGAATATTAAGACATGTATGAGGGGAGTTCTTAGTATATGTAGGAAATAAGATGACTTTAAATAATTTCAACAGTGATTCTACAGGAGTTAGTGACACACATGCAATGGTTAATTCACATTTTATTTTTGTTAAAAAATATAACATGCAAAAGGGAGGAGATATGGGGGTGTATGTATACGTATAGCTGACTCACTTTGTTATACAGCAGAAACTAACACACCATTGTAAAGCAATTATACTCCAATAAAGATATTAAGAATAATAAAATAAAATAAAAACACATACACACAAAAATAACGTGCACTCCAACTGAAACCTTAATTCCACATAGGCGTGTGCTGTGCATGTTCCTTCTAACTGGGCTAGTTTTTTTCTCATGCCATGGGAGCAGGTGGCATGAAGCTGTTTTGATGAGGTTAAAAGGCTCCTCCCCTCTTTCCCCAAGCAGCAGCCCAAAGAACGTCAGCAGTAATTGTGTGCCTGGCTCGGCTATGCAGGGAGGGTGGAAGCAAAATTGATATCAAATAAGGGTATCAAACTGAGATCTGAATGTTCCGTTTAAGTTGTTGCTCATTTTCATTAGCCATGCCAGGGGTGAAAGCTTATGACTTAAACATCCTCGGTAGTAAGAACATTTATTTTTGATGGATTTATATTCCTCTTCTTCATAAAGGCTGAATTAGTGTTGTAGTGGCTATAAATGAAGGGATTTCTTTATCCTCTTCTCATTTTATTATTTACTAATCAGACTTCAGCTCAGATAGATAAAAGAGAGAGGTTCTGTTGCCTAGATGTGAGGCCTTTAATGAGGATGGGAAGCCCCAGGGAGCCGAAATCTGAAGTAGAACGATGCTGCTTTCGGGTTTCTTGTCATTTCTTCAGTTGCTTCTCCTCCCTTTTCCAATGGGCCTAGTGAGCGGGAACTATCCAGGGTGCTAGAACGCTGGCAGCTTTGCCGTTCAATGCAGACGAATTGCAGAAACAGACAAGAAAGATTACTGCTTATTTCAGAAGGTAGGTTCTTTGTTTCAGAATCCCTGATTAATCAGCAGCAGCATCAACAGACTAAGGCAGCTGGAGAGGAGAGAGAGAAGCAGAAAGGGAGGGAGTCAGGGGCAGGGAGGGAGGGGAGAGAGAGTATGAGAGAGAGAGAGCTGGTTGTCACGGGGGAGGGACGATGCCACAAGCTAGGCTGCTCCAAACCTTCTGTATGTAAGTGGCAATGAGAAAGAGCATCTTTTTGGCTGAGACGAGACATGTAGAAAGGATGTTTCTGATTTTTTGTTTTCATTTATTTTTGTCTTCACAGAATATAATCAATGAGGCAACTTAGCCAGCCTGGGTGATTGCTTCGAGTCTTGTAATTATCTGTGTAGCAAAGTGGGTAAAATTATTCAATTTCTTCCCTGCTGGACCTAGAAGGAGAGGGGCTGTGTGTTCATCCCCACCCATTAGCTATGCCTTCTTTTCTCTGAATGTCGATTTAAGGAAGCAAGCACCTGTCTTCTGCCACCGCATCTTCCTAGCAAACTTTAAAGGCCATTTTATCTGATAGGAAGAACATCAAGAATGCTCTGATCTCTAGTGATGAAGAATCTGGGAGTGGACACTTTTCCCATCCAGGTACAATGCACTTTAATTGAAGAAAAACTGAGCTGAACTACAAGTCTATTTCTTATGGTGCTGGATTACTCCTACAGAACTGCCCTGAGATCAGCCGCGAGAGAGGGCTCTGACAGACACAAGTCACCTTCTGAATATTGCACTTAGCTGTCCCTGGGGACTTAAATTTTGGTATGTATCTCATTTTTCAGATTCTCTAAGCATGCTAATTGAATCCAGCACTAAATAGATCAAGCAATCTGGTTATGAAATGGAATGGATTTTAGCTGGGAATACTTAATGCTGAAGTTTGCATGTCTTATTAGGTGGAGCAGAGAGAAAGCCACAGCGAAGGCAACCAGGGCTTTAATGAGCCTCAGGCTATTTTGTACCCTCCTACCCACTTAGTTATGTTACCACAGAAATGGTTAAACTAGATTTTCATTGGTAAAATAAGCTATGTTGAATTATTAAAAGCATTGAAAATATTTTCCAGGGTATTAATTAGCATTCACGTGGTGCATGCTAGAGTTATTTATCTGCTACTCCATACCATAAATATTTTACAACAGTCTCTTAACACATTTGTGTCAGCCCAGTTTTGTGTTCTGAAAGAAAGAAAGAAAGAAAGAAAGAAAGAAAGAAAGATAGAAAGAAAGAAAAAAAAAGAAAGAAAGAAAAAAGAAAGAAAGAAAGAAAGAAAGAAAGGAAAGAAAAGGCACAGTACCAAAAAATAAAAATCCAAACTATCAGACATACACCAAAGCTGAAACTGCTTCTTCCTAACTGATCAGACATAAACCTCTTTGAGAATTGTATGTTTTAATACCACTCAATATTAGAAATTTCACTATTCTCATCACAATAAATATTCTCTATAGAACTTTAGGTGGACTTGTTTTACTTGGGACACACACTTATTTTGTTGGGGTGTCTCCGCTCTAATTTTTCCAACTATTGGCAAATGTTAAATACAAGAAATGTAGGTATTCCCTATCTGGGAGAACTATTACTATGATAATATTGTTCATTATCATTAGGAAAATTTAAAGTTGTTTTAGTATCATAGAACTGGAATATTTTTCTAAATATAGTCCAAAAATAAGAAAACACAATGGAAGAGCTTCCACGATATAGTTTTGGTCATTTTAACATGCAAGAATTTATAACCAAGTAGTGTGGATTAATGACTGTAGAACATAAGGGGAAATTAACTTCTCTCCTAATTCTTCACATTTTAGACAATGCTCCAACTTATTTTCTATATAGTCAAGTGGTAAACAAATTAATATGAGAAAATGTGAGCCACAAATGCCAATTTTTTTCCCCCTGTGGAAAGAACAACATATGTTTGCCAACTCAGCAAAGGAAGAGACTCTGTGAAGGACATTGACAGTTTAGAAAATCAGTGAAAAAAGACCTGAGGAAAAAATACTACAACTTCACAAGGAACTACAGAGAAGCCCAAGGACTTGGAACATCTGTAAAGTTTAGAGAGAGAAGTGTAAAAATCCTAGAGACAGGAAGGTTAGCTATTGTTTAAAAAAATAAATAAGTCATCACCTCCCAATTCAATTAGATGGTTTCTATTGTAGCCCCAGTCAGCAATTATTATACTGACTATATGTACTTTGCAAATACTGCCTTGTAAGTATCTGGAAACATTTGGCCAAAGGCTCAGAAAAGTACCTCAGCTATTGACATTTTGTGTGAGTCCCTAATATTAGTGAAATATGCAGTCTTTTTAGACCATGGGCATATAGCACCATGACAACCTAGAAGTTTTGGGGAAATATCTGATTTATGATGCTCTACATTAACATGATCTATGCCCATGTTAACCATTTTGGGAAGGGAGATAGTGGAGAAAAACTCACTACAAAGTAATCTGCTTTCTGAGAAAAAAAGCAATCACTATCTTTGTAGTCACTTCAACAAGCTCTCTTGGTTTTAACTCTAACATTTCCCATTTTGGGCAGAACAACTGCATTTTAATGACAGTGGAATGAAAAAATAAGCATGTTCATTTGTGGGGTTGAGGGTAGGCTTTCAAGCATAATCAAAGTGAAATTATAGAACTTATTTTTGACACATTATAAGATTTGATCAAGAAAACAATTTTGACACGGTTTGCATGGGTTATGGAGTGAAGCCAGGCAATCTAGTCTGTTGATTTGGTCCTGTGTGAAGTCAGCAAATTTTAGGTATTAATTTGCATACATATTTTACATATGTATATGAAGCCTGATTATTTAAGTACTTATTTTTTCAAATTGATTTGAGTACATGCGAAAAATGTAAAAGATCTTTTTCTCTTCCTGAACAAAAAATATAGTCAAAATTGCCTTGGAAAACTTTTATTTGGATGAATAGATACTACTGGGCAAAATAGGATTCTCTATCTCAGAGAAGATGCAATGATTGGAGTGGGAGGGAAAATCAAATTTTAATAACTCAAATTCACATAACTTCCTCACAGTGTTAAGACAGCTGTGGTTTGAAAACCTAAGAAACAAATAAGGGGTGGGCACTAGAAAACTTTCCCATATGCAAATAAAGTGAAAAACATAAATGTGAAATGAAAGCAAAATGTCTCAGCTTTCCACCATGAAATTTATTCCCTCGTATGTATTTTGTTTTTTCCTGGTTAACACAAATAGCATGACAATAATGGTACAAAATAAACTCTATCTTATTCTAGCTACAACATTGTCATATGGGGTTAACTGTGACCTAAAATTTAAGAAGCTTCTTACAGAACTTTAAGAATTGGGGAGCAGTTCTCTCCCAAACATATGCTTTTTCTTCCTCTACCTCTCAGTGTATGTGGAAAATACCTGAATTAGTAGAGCTTTCACAACTTTATATCTTGGAAAACCAAAGTTTTAGATGGAGAACAGCTCCATTTCAGAAATTCTGAGTAAACACTTTAAGAAGAGAAAAAAGAACCAGCACTCATTAGGGCCAGTGGACTAATTCACTAAGGTGATGCTGTTATACTAGAACTCGGCTTTCGGTAAATGGTGATAAATGGCGCACAGGAAGATTCTGCCTGAGAAGTCAGTGTACACGTCCACTGGAGCCGTTCCTTATGGAGCCAGAGTAGTTGATGTCACAATGTATGAAATTGCACTAAAGGAGGAATCTGTTCTGACTTATAAGTAAAGAAAAATTCTTTAACATATGTGAGAAGATGGCATGCTTGATATTTATCTGACTCTTTTTGTACATTTTTTTTTTCAAAAACAGCCTATAATTAACCAAAAGCCCTCTAGCCTACGGGGAAACCCAATCCTGACACCAGTTAGTGCCACATTAAAATATCCTCTGGTAAATTGAGACCATACAAAATTTATTTCTTAATTTACAAAGGGAATAACCCATGTAAGTGTATGATCTTAAAGTTTTTGCATATACTTATATCTCAGGAATGTACCTCAATTTCTTTTGGCTTTAAGACTTAAAGTTATGTAGTGTCTCAGCTTCTTGAGTTCCTTGGATGCAAGCAGTGGCTACAGAGGGAGCAAAAAGGGCAATTTTTTATGTGTCTAGGGATTCCATTTGGATTGCCTTATGTATATTTTCTGCTCTGCATATATATGTAATGGATAGTTTTATTTCAGTGGAAATAATTGTAAAGTGATGTAGTTATTTTCAGTTCTAGGCTCAGCATTGGTAAGGTAGAGTGATGATTTTACACAAAAGAAAATAAGGAAATGATTAACTCAAATAAAAGATAAAATGCTTAATGTCTTAAATACAACCTGAATCCTACCAGTTTAACTTGGTGCATTTTAGCTGAGTAGAGTGAAATTTCAAATTTTGAGAAGTCTCACAATATTATACAAAGTAATCTTTATAAAGGGTGTGGTCAATAGGAAATAAATAACAAAAGTGAAAGAATAAAATAAAATAAAGCTGAGCAATTAACCACCCAGTTGTATTTAAACCAACATCTGTAGCTTTTATTAGAATGGAATAATTCTAAATACAGTAGTCCAAAAATTAAACAAAAGCAGTCTCTTATAAATGCAGAATACAGCAATACAGGAAAGGCGTAAAGTGAAGACTTGAAGTTATCTGTGGTTTGTACGGGAATTCTGATCTCCACTATCTTAGATGCTTTCCCAGGAGAGTCCCTGACACAAATTTTAAATGTTGACCATAACTTCCAAGAAAAAGAACACATACACGAAAATCATCTGTTATTGGAATCAACGCCTTGCATTCCAAAGAAAATATATCTGCTTTGTGGGTGAAGACAATGGATGCCAGCTCTCAGCCAGTGCTCTAGGGGGGGCTAAAATGTCTAATTTGTTTTCAGCAAAAATGGCTGCAGACACATAGTTCAAATAAAGGGGATGCCTGGAGAAATGCAAAAGTTCCCTTCAATCTCACTCGATCTGTTACAAATATCCTATGCAATAATTTGTGATCTACTATGGTACACTAATTAATTAATTAATTAATTGCAATATATCTAAAGATGCTACCTGGAGGAAACTGCCCGTTTGTTTCTTAACTATGTTCTTTTATGATGCCAACTTTGGAATTAGGTGCTGAAAACAAGCTTTTATAAAATGCTTGCATACAAGATTGTCGTTCAAGGGCTAGAAATGATCTTGATTTAATATCCAATAATCAAAATGCAGCCAAATATTTAGTGATAAGGAATGTATCTGATTCAATATCTGTCTTAGCCATAAATATAAATTTCTGAAGGGCAGATTTAAGATCATACCTGTCTGTGGGTTCTCACTGCATGGGAATGGTAGAAGTTGTAATGATATAGGCTCTTAATACAAGACTCACTTTTCTTCAGTGAGGCCAGGTTCATTCACAGTCCAGTTACCTGAGAAACATCCTTGGGCTTGGAAGGGTGGAGTCCAAGTGTTTGAGAAATGGGATGCGCATCTTGGTTCATATGCCCCAAAGCCCTTAGTTTCTAGATTTGAAAAATGGGGCAGAATGGATAAGTGGGCTTACATGCATTTGGTTAGTGAACAAATCTGTTAACCATTTTCATGGCCTCTATTTGAATACCTGTGATTAAGGAAGTTGAACAATAAACATTCTACTCTTATGTTTCAAAGTAAAACTATGCTTATCGAGGAGTTATTACAAACCGTAATCTTCACCACAGTTAAGAATTGTGAAAATCATCTAATAGTAATGTTAGTGACTAATGACTA